CCTTGCTCACCGCTAGCTGCTACACAGATTTAGGCCTTTAGGGTAGAATATTGTTAAAAAGGTAGGTCTCTGTAAGTAAGAACTTAAAAATACGCCAAGCCTCTCCTGACGAGGCCTGATCCACCCTCCTGGAAAGATTGTTGTATTTGTATGGTATGCCATCTAGTCTAAGCTTAATTGTTTTTGCCATTGCCAAAATTAGTCTTACTAGGGTCTATTCTAAATAATTTAGGCCCGTTTTATTAGGGAGGACTATTTAAATTTAGTCATGCCTAACTAGTCGACGTGAGTGACTCAGTTTCGTGGCTCCAAAAATATGAACATTTGATTGGTTAAAATTGGTTATTTCGGTTCGCCCATTTATCCAAATACGGAATATAAGATTACGTCATTCTTTTGGCATCCTGGTGCCTGCATTCAGTGTTTTACAAGTCGCTTATTCCGTCTATCTCTAAATTAACTTTCTCGTTGGTGGCGCTGTCCAGAATGAGAAAAATAATAAAAAATAAGAGACTTGTGGCAAGTCAAAGGTAAAGCCTGCTTTCACAAAAATCGCTACACGCTATCGCCGACTCATTTGGGGACGCTGGTTGGTCAGTTGAATCAGGGAGCGTTCCAATTGTGTCGGGGACAGATACGCAGAGCAAGGATTGCAGCGAAATGCTTTAGTGACTGTGTAGTGATTCTATGTAAACTAGGCTTTAATGACTTTTATTCTATAAACCACTTAATATCTCTCCCTTCATACAGTTTGTAGACACATACATATAGTGGAGCGAACTATCTATTTTTAGCTCAAGTTCAAGTTCACGTTTCTCATTACTGTCAAATAAAATGTTACATGATATTCTTTTTCCAAGGTTCAACATAAAAATAAACTTACAAATAAAAAATAGTTAAAAGGTGTTAAAATACAGGATACATTTGATTAGTTAAAATAAAAACATATGATCATGTACAGTACATAAACATAAGCCTACATACTAAAAATATTATAAACTTGTTGATTGTAACTACGTAATAGCTTTATGATATGTCTAAATTTATTGATACATTTTCAAATATTTGATTCTTGCTTTAGTTCAAAGAACATTAATATTATGGGATAATTTTAAAACTGATTTTCTCCGTGCAGTTTTTAAAGTTTATCTTAAGCGTAAGGCAAAGAAAATCTAATGCCCATGGATTAATAACGAAATCTTCAAGATTATTAGGAAGGAAAACTGTTTATACAAAGCTGCCAAACGTTCTCACAATACCAACAAATGGCTTTTTATATAAAAAATATGTAGGTATTACCTTAAGCACTTATTAAGCGATCTCAACCACAAATATGTCTCTGAGAGTGAAAAATGCATCGATCATGGACAAACTTTTTGGTCATCTGTACGCAAATCCAGGCCAAACTGGTTGCAAATTGTTTTAAATGTAACGGCACCTATACTGATTGTCCGAATTTTATTGCTTGCTGTTTTAATCACTTCTTTTCTTCCAATTTTACCTCCGATCCTATTTTAAATTAAAATGAATTTACTGATGAGTGCAACAATTACATAATCACGTTGGTCTTCTTCCTCTTTCTGAAATTCGCACTAACCAGTATGAAGTGCATAAGCTCATTAACGTTACAAACTTATTTGTTATTGGGAAAGATAGTTAACAATTATTTAGTAAATCATCTAATGAGCTCCAATTTCATCAAGTAGGCCTATTTTAACATGTATTTTTCCATTATTTTTGTTTTCTTTGTGATGAAATGAATAAAGATTTAATTAAATTAAACCACAAACTTATATCTTCTAACCAGCATGGTTTTGTAGCTGGAAGGTCATATACCACCTTATTAAGTGTAGTTAACCATAACTTGTCACAAATTTTCGATGGGCGGTCCTCCTCCTATTCATGTTATTTTCCTTAATTGGAGTAAAGCATTTGATAAAATAGGTCATGCCCTTTTGATTAAGAAACTTCACTAATATGGAACTACTACGTTATTTCTCGTCATACCTTAACGTGAAATCCCAATATGTGTTGTACCAGTGGCGGAACCAGATGAAGATCGAAGTTTCTCTTAACGGGAGATCCACACCTCGGTCCCGCAAGAGTAGGGGCTGAGGTGAGAAAAAGTTTGGAAAAGGTAACACCTGATGGTTTCGTTCTCTCAGATCGCCCTGGTGTTTTCCAACCGAAATATAAAAACTTTTTGCATCTTATTCTTACCGGGTTGAGGCAAGAGGAATTGCTGCGTGTTATGCAGAACTGTTTTTAAAGTGGGCAAGACAAGCACCCAGGTTTGACAATGCTATAATTTGACCGCAGAGATTAGAATTATACTTTAAATGGTAGCACATTTTGTGTGGAATGGTAGAAAAATTCTCTCAGCATGAATTGAGATGTTTATTCTTTGGTTAATAAATACAATATATACATAAATAGATTATTTAGAGAAATAGCAACTACAGTATATACAATAGAGATATAATAATGGATAGACCCTACAGAGCGCTAACTGCAATTTATTCGATGTTTGAAATACGCAGAGCTGTGTGTGTGTACCATCCAAGATGGCTGCCATAGACAGCTAATCAAATTTCGCCTAAGCATCATTTTCAATGGCGCCCTCAATTTACACAGAAAGTTCAGTACAGCTAGTTACCCGTATGTTCGAAACTCGAGCGTTACGGTGTATGGGTGTAATGTACAAGATTTTAGTTTTTTTTTAAATTTTTGAATAAGATGCTCTACTTGGCTCTTTTTGGCTACGGTAGTTTAATAATTTGTCATTATCAATACTAATTATCATTAATGAAATAATAGTCAGAGGGCTTATCTATGGTAGTAATATGTATAGGCCTACCAAAGATCTAAGATCTTTGATGTATACTGAGCCTGAAGGTGGCGCTTTTCTTCGGTGGCCATCTTGGATGGTACACATACACAACTCTGCATTTCTTCGCCATCTTGTCAGCACTCTAGTTGTTTAATAACTCTATGCTATATACACAAATTGCCGGATATTATGGGAGACCGGACCCAGAGACCACCTCAAGTTCCAGGTCCCAGAGGTGGTCTCGAATTGGAGAGCAACTGTTTAAAAAAATGTATGCAATGAAATGTAATTTGTTTTCTGATTGTACAACGTAGGTTAACACTGTGCGGTACATTATCTTTTGAAAAGGCCCGTCAGGTCTGTGCAAATAAAGTTTTTGAAATTTCCATGAAGTAAACTTTAGGTTTAAAAAATCCAAAATGTTTCAAATTTTGAAAATTCTTTTGTCACTTGTTTGGTAGTCAATTTCATATATTACCTTTGAGATAGGCCATATCCTTTCCATGTTTGTGTGTGGTTGTGGATGTGTGTGCTGAGTCAGACCATACTGCAATTTTGTTGGTGTAACAAAAAATGATGATGTTTCCAGAAAATTCTCATCAAGTTGATCAGACATTTTACTATAATCGAATAAAAAAATGGAATGCGTTACAAAATAGTTTAAAGGAAATTGAAAACCATAATACATTTAAATATTTACTTAAAAAACATTTAATAAAAACATAATTTTTTATGATTATATTTGCTTCTCCGTTTATAAGTCAAGGATCCCTGGAAACAAGCTCATAGAGCTTATAGAGTTATCTTGCTCTCATTTTTGTGTGTTTTTATGTACTTGTTTTTTGTTTTGATATTATAATAATGAGGGCAATAAATAATAAACAAACAAAAACAAACAAACAAAGGGATAATTTTGGCAACAATACCGTATTGATTGGTTAAATTATTGGTCCGACCAAAACTGGACCAGCCGGACTCCTTCCTATGGCCTTGTGTTATATTGTATCAAACATATAGTTCGTCAACGAAAGTTCCTTTTTAGTTGTATGAAAAAAGAGGTATCTGATGGGAATCGAACCGCAGTCTCTCCAAATTGAAAATCATAATACATTTAAATATTTACTTAAAAAACATTTAATAAAAACATATTTTTTTTAATGATTATATTTGCTTCTCTGTTTATAAGTCAAGGACCCCTGGAAACAAGCTCATAGAGCTTATAGAGTTATCTTGCTCTCATTTTTGTGTGTTTTTATGTACTTGTTTTTTGTTTTGATATTATAATAATGAGGGCAATAAATAATAAACAAACAAAAACAAACAAACAAAGGGATAATTTTGGCAACAATACCGTATTGATTGGTTAAATTATTGGTCCGACCAAAACTGGACCAGTCGGACTCCTTCCTATGGCCTTGTGTTATATTGTATCAAACATATAGTTCGTCAACGAAAGTTCCTTTTTAGTTGTATGAAAAAAGAGGTATCTGATGGGAATCGAACCGCAGTCTCTCGAAATTGAAAATCACAATACATTTAAATATTTACTTTAAAAACATTTAATAAAAACATATTTTTTTTAATGATTATATTTGCTTCTCTGTTTATAAGTCAAGAACCCCTGGAAACAAACTCACAGAGCTTATAGAGTTATCCTCTTGCTCTCATTTTTGTGTGTTTTTATGTACTTGTTTTTTGTTTTGATATTATAATAATGAGGGCAATAAATAATAAACAAACAAAAACAAACAAATAAAGGGATAATTTTGGCAACAATACCGTATTGATTGGTAAATTATTGGTCCGACCAAAACTGGACCAGCCGGACTCCTTCCTATGGCCTTGTGTTATATTGTATCAAACATATAGTTCGTCAACGAAAGTTCCTTATTAGTTGTATGAAAAAAGAGGTATCTGATGGGAATCGAACCGCAGTCTCTCCAAATTGAAAATCATAATACATTTAAATATTTACTTAAAAAACATTTAATAAAAACATATTTTTTTTAATGATTATATTTGCTTCTCTGTTTATAAGTCAAGGACCCCTAGATGTGTATAAGAGACAGCATTCGGACGATGTGGATCAGAGAACCTGGTCTCATCACTCCCCTTCTTACACTACTTTAGGCTGTCTCTTATACACATCTCATATAGGCTGTATAAATTTGATAAAACTAAATAAAGAAAATTAAAAGTTAAAAAATAAAATAAAAATTTGTAAACATAACAAGAGGAGAGAACGTACATAAACGTTTAAGAGGCTAAGGAAAGCAAAGATTTAATAAGAAAGTAAGGATTAGGCAAAAATGCTCTACTTCCAAAGAAATAATAAACAACATAGTTTCAAAGTGCGTGGCAAACACAGACATGCTTGACCTGGTAGACAGTTGCAGAATCTTGTTAAAATTGTATGTGTTAAAATCAACAACCAATCAGTCATCATCATCATCATCGATCATCATCATCATCATCATCATCATCATCGTCGTCGTCGTCGTCATCATCATCATCATCATCATCATCATTCATCATTATTACTTTTATCATCATCCTCATCCTAAACCGAGATAGGCTACTTTGCTTAATTTATTCCCCAATATCATCGTATTACTATATATTTATTTATGTCAAGATCTTTCACAATTTACGACTAAAATAAAGCCTCTGATTTAAAAAAATTATCAAACTAGAAAGCAATGTTATTATTAATACTATATTTTTAATACATTAATAACATTTACAATAATATTCATTTCAATAAAACTAAAAGTATAACTAAAGCCTCTATCAACTCATTTAACATAATATTTTACTTAGGATTGTTTACGTTTATGATTTTTGCTACTGTATATTTATATGTGAACCGCATCGTTAGTTTTCTGATTTATTTTTTAATATATAAAAGGTACTATTCTCCCAACAAAAATTTGTTAGGGACGAATAAAACCTTGATACAATTATTTTTGTTGAATAATTATTCTACTACATACACTCAGTACTGTATTTTTAGAGTTCCTATATTTTACATACAGTGCGCCCTCAATACTGGTAACCTTGTTATTATGGGATATACTTGAACTCTAAGCTAGGGGTCATCTGCATCAACCATCCAACCAAAGAAGGTTGACCGTAAGAAATATTGTTTGCAGAAAGTGTTTTGTTCGAAGCCTTAGTTGCTGATATAGTTTTAAGCTGCCGAAAAGGGAAATATATTTTTGAACTGATGCTGTTTCTGTAGAAATCTCATAGAAGCTATTTGATAGCTGTCAAGATGTCTAAAGCAAAGAGGAACATCAAAGGTCTAACGATTGCCCCCACTGTCGGGGAGCCAGAAGGAGGCGAGACTAGCGTTTCAACTGAGTAAGATAGATTGCATGCTGCATTAACCTAGGCTAGGGCCAAGGGCCTAGCCCAGCCAGGGGCTATGTACCTACCAGGCCTAGGCCTAGAATCTTTAAATTTATCATTAACACGTTATGTTGCATGACTTCTCTTGACCCAAATACTCTGTATCTAGATTCTAGCCTACCTCTCTGTTTTTACAATTGTTGGTTTCTTGCACAGCACTGACAATCATCACAATCAGAAATTCATATTTTCACTTCGTTTCGGTGTTGTTGATGATGATGATAATGATTGGTGATTAATGACTGTAGGCCGGCCTAGCCTAGGCCTAGTTGAATGAATATCACCATGTTAGGCCTACACACAGTTAGTTGATCAGGGATGTCACCACGCTGGTCGGCGGTGGACGGGCCCGTCCAGCACTCAACATTTCCGACCAGGATTTACAGGCTCCCGACCACTACTATTATTTCAACAGTTTACAAATTGTAACAAAATAATTAGTTTACCTAAACACAATAGACCAGCTAAATTGATAGAAAAGACAATAAGAATACAATAAATGTTTCCGTGGTTACGTTAATTGTAACAAAATACCGCACTGCCCTGCTAATTATCGCTAACTTAACAGCCTAGGCCCAGTTGAGTCATAGTGAACATATTGGGCTAGCATGACACAGTTGCTCTGTACACATTCAAAGGTTAAAGTTTAAATCGTGACCATTCAAGTGTTTTATTATGAGATCATGGTCCGGGGCAGGAAGATTATTAAAAATTTACGAAACCTGATTTATGTTTTATTTCTTTACTTTGTTTTCATTTTGTATTTTAAGTTTTTCACTTTTAATTATAATTGATATATATTGTGTGTAAATGGACAAAAAATAAATAAATGAGTGCACATGAATCAGTGACATACACATTCATCGTGGTAATCGTCAAACATGTGAAATTACGGCAAACAATGCGGCTGGGTACAGTCGGATCGACGCTTTGTCACCGGGATTTGTTCATTATTATTTTTAATCTAAATCAAAGCATGTCAACTATTGAATTTAATAAGGCCTACAGTAAGTCTCACCTTCATGTGTTTTGTTGCATTCCTCAAATTCTGGCCTAGGCCTACCTGGGCCTGGCCTAGGCCTACCTGGGACTAGCCAAAAAAATTCGCGTCAGCTAGACTTGGGCCTAGGCCTGCTCAACTTACTTAGGCCTTTTGGTTTTTAAAAGCTTTCACGAATACGGTGAACCCCTCCCCACCCCGGGAAAACGGGGGGGGGGGTGGGTGGCACCCCACCCCCGGGGAAATGCGGAATGATCGCCGACCGGCACTTCAAAAAGCTGGTGACATCCCTGGTTGATGAGTTTGTATTTTGACACACCTTGATAGCCTGCAGGTCATGGATGGGAAACATACAGTATTAGCCTACTACTGTACAGTACCTGTCTCGTGTTTTTTTAAATGTGCTAATTAAATTTGGTAGAAAATTAGGCCAGTGCCTACAGCTTTGTCTCTATCTACTCTCTACCTATCACAGTGGTTACAATATTACTCAACTATTTCCTAAAGATTTTATGCTTAATCTTTCGTTAATTTTTATCTGTCCCCCTCGCAAATCAATTCAAAATTGTGCGGACGATTGATGCATCAAAAATTAACTAAAATTTGTCTGAAATCACTAGAAAAATAGGTGCGCACAATAATAGTATTGCATAATTCATATAAGAGATACGCCTCTGGTCAAGGCCTAACTTTGCACAAAATCCGCACCATACTTTATGAAATGCGCAGACAGATTTCTAGGTCTATTTTTTTTCATGGAGAACTGTATTCCCTGTGTATCCCTTAATTTACAGTCTGGGGAACATATCCTGAACTAGAAATCTGTCTAACTGTACAGTACCTATCACAGTGGTTACAATTCTTCGCACCTATTCTCACAGAGATTTTCCACTCGATGTTAAGTTAATTTGTTAGTATATCAATTCAAGGAATATTAATAGGGCTTATGCCTATCCTTACAGTATATTAAGTTGGCCTATCTATATAGTATTGCCTGTACAGTATTATTGTCATATGCCAAAATGATTAATTTTATGGCTGTGGATGTTGTTCCAACAACCTTACATAAATCCTAGGTGTTGATTGGCGTAGCTGGCTTGATCCTAATCCTAAAATTTAGTCTTGCTATCTTAATGCAATTCAGCATGTCGGAAAAATATCAGTGTGCAGTGTAATTTTATTCCGGTTTTCAAAAGATACTGAATGAATGCACAGTATTAGTTCAATATTTATACAAAATGCTCCTGGTTACTGATTTAGCCTTTTTCAATCCACTGCTGTATGTAGGCCTGTCATTAATCCTCCATTGCTGTCTCTTCTGAGCCTGTTGTTTCCATGTCTTGCCGCTGAACTCCCTGATGTCGTCTCACCATCGTCTATTGGATCTACCACTATTCCTTTTGTGGGAGTATGGTGTCCAGTTTGTGGCCCTACGAGTCTACCTGTTGTCTTCCCTCCTGAGGATGTGTCCTGCCCATATCCACTTCTTTTTCATTTTTTTGATTATGGCCCTTATATTTCTCAGGTCGAGGTTTGTTAGTGGAGTGACTCCAATCATAGCTCTTTCAATTGCTCTAACTGTCACTTGTAGTTTATTTTCCTGTTTTCTAGTTGTAGTCCATGTTTCTGAACATAGGCAAGAACTAGCAGATTATGCATTGATTGGAAAGTTGACTTTAGGCAGATTGGGATGTCATTATCTCTGAAGTACAGTACAGTAGTTTAGCTTCCCAAATTTAACCCAAGCCAACTGCATTCTTCGTTTAATTTCTTCCGATGGTCCACTACTGAGGGTAATTTTCATTCTAAGATAGATGTAATCTTCTACTAATTCTATTTGCTGGTTTCCTACTGTCAAACTGTAAGTTGTTTTTGGTAATTGCCTTTGTTTTTCCTAAATTCATCTTGCATAAAGACTGCTGTATTATGCTCCTTATAAATCCATTGATTGATTGATTGATCTCCAGGCTCCAAATTCTATTGATTTTGTTGAATAAATTATTCTATCCTCTATTTTTTCCATAGCAAAAAATCTGCGACAGCAAATTCTGCAGAATGTATTGCGAAGAAACTAGACAAACTCGACTTAGATGAGGAACAACGACAACGACTACAGTCGTTTTTAACAATGAAAGCACAAGTGCTTGATACCGGTGATCTAGGGCAGGATGATTTTGAGAAGTTGGATGAGCTGGGTGCTGGTAATGGTGGCGTGGTTACAAAAGTGCGACATAAACGTAGTGGACTTATCATGGCAAGAAAGGTTGGTTTTAAAAGAAAAGTATTTACAGTACAACCAGTTTTACTTTTGGTGTTGATAAGATTAAATAAGCTATTTAAATTGATATGTCTGAGTATTATTTTCCGGTTGATTGTGTTTATGTACAGTAGAACCTCGTTTTTTACGTACCCCAGTTATACGAACCCTCGGTTTTACGTACGCCTCGTATCGACGATGACGTCATCAAAAACCCAGAAAATATTTTTAAAAAACGGCCCTTTTCAGAGCAACCATAAGTAAAAAGACTATAACAAAAAACTATAACAATAAACAAACCATAATGCAACATATTTTCATTAAACAGCAACGTTGATTGAGTCTAATACTGTACCGGGTTGTTATAATCTAAAAACCATGTGAACTGAGTGAGATGAACAACTACCGATGGTGCTCAAAATAATTGCTTTCCTACTGTGGCAAACCATGGAAAAACTTGTCTGGTCTAATTTTCTACACGAAGCTGAGTAGGCATAGTTTCGTACACGAACGCTAATTGGTTGGCTCGCCCAGTGCAGTGCACATGGCTTCGCTGTTTCACGTACACGAACGCTAATTGGTTGGCTCACCCAGTGCACATGGGTTTAGTTTGTCTCAACAGGCCCAGAAAACACCACAGCTCTGTTGTTTAGAATAGACATGAAGGGGAATTCCCAAGTTATACCTTTGTCGTATAGGTAATCTTACAATATTTTCATGTTCTTTAGTTAAATAAAAGACATGAAGTGATGAATTAATTCACTAGACACATGGTTTTATTTGAACACTTTATTATGACATTGTAAAGGAATGAATAAAAACACTAAACACATGGTTTTATTCGTAGGCCTAGAGGCTAGGTCTAGCCTAGCTAGGTAACATCATTCGTTCATACATACATACGTATATTGAGGTTACGTATGTATTAGGTCAAAGGTTACCACAAATTTAACCCAACCTCTATTTTACGAATCCCCCGATTTACGTACGCCCTCCGGTCCCGTACCGTACGTAAAATCGAGGTTCTACTGTAATGTTATTGAAATTAATAAATATATTATGTTATCTATCATCACTGTCAGACATGGTATGCAAATATGTTATATGTCGACCATTCTCAGTCCAGAGGACATTACTGTATGTTGTCACAAAATGTGACTGAACATTGTGTGGAATTAATGCGCGGTCAAGAAATTATTTCGTCACTGACACACACATACTATACCAGGGGTCCACAGTCGACGCAGCGTGCGGGATTATTCCGGAAATTGGGACGGCCTCCCATACTCAAACAAGCAAGCAAGAGTGTCCCGGAAAATAAACCATCTACCGCAAATTTATAAAAATATTTGCATGTTTTCCCTGCTTTATTAATGAACACTCATAAGTCAGTTTGGATGAGTATCACTTTGTGTAAAGA